GTCAACTTGATCCACAATGGAGTCACCTGAGAGTAGGGAACACTGATTAAATGCCTTCAAAGACTAGTATACATACACAAGTGTGTAAGAGAATTTTCTTCATTAGTAAATAGTGTGGGGCTCTTCCTGTCTGAGTTGGTTTCTTGGGAAGACCTTGGGTACTAGGTCCGCACCCAGTCCCACAACAGCCAGAGGAAGCTCTACTCCCAGGTGCACTAACATACCCAGAATCATAGGTGATTAGGCCACAGCATCTTCCCTAACACATCCAGGGGTGCAGGAAGCTCCTCCAAGACAGTGGCACAGGTTCATTTCCATCTGAGCCAGCACCCTGAGTAGACCTTGGGCACTAGCTCCACACCCAGTCCCACAACACCTAGACGAAATTCGACTCTCAGGTGCTCTAATACAGGCAGGATCACAGGATGTCAGGAGCTTGGTCATACCAGGATTTCAGGATCCCAGAGGCAGCTTGACTCACAGGAGCTCTGACATACCCAGGATTTCAGGATCCCAGGATCACAGAATCACAGAATCACAGAGACAACTGGACTCTGAGGAATTCTGACACAACCAGCATCACAGGAGGAAGAGGGTCCAGTCAGAGATAACCAGATGGTGAGAGTCAAGCATAAGAAGATAAGCAACAGAAATCAAGTCGACTTGGAATCATCAGAACCCAGTTCTCCCACCATAGCAAGTCCTGGATATCCCTTCACACTGGAAAAGCAAGATTTGGATTTAAAATCACATCTCATGATGATAATAGATGACTTTAAAAAGGACATAACTCCCTTAAAGAAATAGAGGAGAATACAAGTAAACATTTAGAAGCCCTTAAAGAGGAAACACAAAAATCTATTAAAGAATTAGAGGAAACACAAACAAATAGGTGAAGAAACTGATCAAAACCATGCAGAATCTAAAAATGAAAATAGAAACTATAAAAATATCACAACGTAAGGCAACCCCGGAGATAGAAATCCTAAGAAAGAGATAAGGAGTAATAGATGCAAGCATCACCAACAGAATACAAGAGATGAATTCAGGAGAGAATTGAGGAGATGAATTGAGGAGAGAATCTCAGGTGCAGAAGATGCCATAGACAACATTGACACAACAGTCAAGGACAATGCAAAATTTACAAAGATCCTAACCCAAAACATTCTTGAAATCCAGGACACAAGGAGAAGACTAAACCTAAAAATAATAGATATCGAAAAGTGAAGATTTCCAACTTAAAGAACCAGTAAATATATTCAACAAAATTTTATGAGAAACTTCCCTAACCTAAAGAAAGAGATGCCCATCAACATAAAAGAAGCCTACAGAACTTCAAATAGACTGGACTAGAAAAGAAATTCCTCCTGTCATGTAATAATCAAAACACCAAATGCACAGAATAAAGAAAGAATATTAAAAGCAGTAAGGGAAAAACGTCAAGTAACATATGAAGGCAGACCTATCAGAATTACACCAGTCTTCTCAACAGAGACTATAAAAACAGAAGGTCCTGGATAGATGTCATACAGACCCTAAGAATACAAATCCAGCCCCACTACTATACCCAGAAAAACTTTCAATTACCGTGGATGGAGAAACCAAGATATTCCATGTCAAAACCAAATTTACACAATATTTCTCCACAAATCCAGGCCTACAAAGGATAATGGATGGAAAAGTCCAACACAAGGGGGGAACTACACCCTAGAAAAAGCAAGAAGATAATCTTTCAACAAACCCCAAAGAAGATAGCCACACAAACATAATTCCACCTCTAACAACAAAAATAACAAGAAACAAAAATCACTTTACCTTAATATTTCTTAATATCAATGGTCTTAATTCCTCAGTAAAAAGCTGGCTCCGAAGAGAAGAATGTGGGAGAGTGGTCAGTCATTTGTTGTGAGGTGGCCAATGAATATGAGGTGTTTCCCCCTTTACTTGCAGTAGCTGGGACAGCTGACCGTGGGGTCATGAGAGCAGGAGACCTTGCCCTGCCACCTCACTGACTGTAGCACTTCAGAGAGTGGGGCCTGTACCTTACCTGGGCAAGAAAATGGAGCTGATACTGATGGAAAAGCAACAGATACATCAGCTCTGAGTGTGGGAAAGCAGGAGAGATCGTTGAGTCCCTCATAGACTGCAACCCTTAAGGGAATTGGCCTAAACCCTAATAGGATAACATAGTGGAACTGGCTCTGGAGGCATGAGAGAGCATAAGAGTTCTTTTCCAGATACCATGAAAACCAAAAATTTAACACTGTCTCATGTAAATGGTGGCATTGGTTGTCCTAACTAGAGCACTGCTGAAGAGGTAATTCCTATGATACAGATAAGGGAGAGCTGGCAAGATGATTAGCTCAGATACCACCCAGGCCCAGATACAGGGCTCTGAATTTGTCCACTTCCAAATCTATATTATCTGCAAATCTTTGGTTTTTGTGAAAAGGCCATTCTTGCTGATCCAAAGCTGTAAGATTGCCATGACACAGGACAATGACACATAATCCAGAAGAGTGCTAAAATGGATTCTCTCACTGATGATGTCACAGAAGCCAAAGATCTTGAACCAGACCAATGACTCATTGCAATGAACATTTGCAAGTGAAGGTATGTGGAGGGAGATATACTGTGAGACACACATATTACAGCTACTATGATGAAATGCTTTTTAAGCTTTGTTGTTTGTTTGTTTGTTTTTTGTATATTTTATTTGGGGGAAATTGCAAGGGCAAATGTCAATTATAAGAGGACAGGCAAAGTGAGAATTTATGGTTTTAAGACACAGTTGTGTTATGTGATGTTTTTCTGGAAGCTGCCAGCTGAAAGGGCATGTGATGCTTTTGGCGGAACAGATGCTGGAGAGGATATGTTATGTTTGGAAACAGCATATGCATAACACAGGAGACTGTGGATGATGCTGTGGCATTGGTTTTCCTGGTCATCTTTATTGGACTTCACTGATACTAGTATTCACTTGTCATGTTTTAGTAGAGATGTGCACCAAAGAACTTTGGATGGTGTTCCAACAGCTTCTAGATGCTTTGGCAAATGATCATCAGAGCCTCATGGTTTCTTCTGAAATGACCTGCTGCTGTGGATTTCTGTTTGGTGTTTTGCTAGAGGACTGGACTTCAGACAATGAAGATTGGTATTTCCCCAAGGAACTACTTCTAAGCAGATCCAAGTTTCCCTTGTCCTATTAGCCATTTCCCTCTCTTACATTTGGTCAGTGGTCTATAAGGGAGATTGAAATGTTCAATAACCCTTATTAAAGTAGGCTTTGAAAACTATAAGCCTACAAATGGGAGATGAGCAGGACTGGGGTGCCTGATATCAAACTCATATAGAATCAATAACAAGTTAAAGAATAAAATAAATATAAGAACACCAAGACAAAATCTAAAACAACCACCATAACAAAAAAATAAAAAGAAAATGTTTAATCTAAATAATCCTAGGCACAAAACATCCAAGTAATTCAGGATTTAACACAAAGACTTAGTCCATTGGCAAATTGTATTAGAAGAAGGGGGAAAACCCAGATCAAATGTACAGAAAATACTTTCAACAAAATCATCAAAAAAAATTCAAAACATAAAGAAGGAGGTGTCTCTCAAGTATAACAAGTACATGGAACACATTGACTATTTGGGTCAGAGAAAAAACTCCCCATGACAAACACATTAAAGTACCAGAAGCCAGAAAGAACGTTATAGAATATTAAAAGAAATAAAGGTTTTCAATCACCAAGTCAAAGTAGGGGGAAAAATTTCCACACTACCACAACAAAATAAGAGGAACCAACAAACACTCACTATTGATAATGCAACATCCATGGTATCAATTCCCCAGTAATTCACAGACAATAGATTGGGGTTGAAAATAGTATCCATCTTTCTGTTGCATCTAAAAACACACCTTTATACCTTCATGCCTTCACATCAAGGATAGACATTACCTTAGGTAAAAAGAAGGGAAAAGGATATTCCAAGCAAATTGACCCAAGGGGCTAGCTGGTGTCACCATTCTAATATCTGACAAAATAGACTTTACACTCAATCTAATCTCTTTGATTAGATTTTCATCACTATGACAACATGCCTTAATAATCTTTGACACACAAATATGTATATAAGAGTCTTTGACATGCATCTGGTTATATCTCATTTATATAGTTATTTTCTTCATTTCTGAAGTCCTATATTTACTTAAGTATTGTTTATGTTCAACCTGAAGAATATTCTTCCAGTGTTTTTATTTAAAAAGTAATTTGGAGATGGCTCTATGCATAAAGTGCTTCCCACATAAGTGTGAGGACCTCATTTTCTCCACAAGAACCCACACAAAGTGAGATGCAACTCTAACATGTGGCTATATTTGGAGTGATGCTATGGCAGATGAGAGACAGAGACAAGAGAATCCCTATCAGACACTGGGTCAGACTGTCTTTCATGAGAATTGTGAACCCTGTCTCAGATAAAGTCAAAGCCAACAGCCACACCCAAGATTGTTCTCTGGTATCAACTCACATGCCATGGCCAGAGAAGTTGCCCTCAAAAGTGAACACATATAGACTCCCCCCAAATATAGAGAATAAATAAAACAATGAATTATTCTATGAATTAATTATATTACTTCTCTTTATTGAGCCTTTATTTCAATTTCCTCTTAGAAAACATTATCACTGGGTGTGTATAATTTTGAGTGATCAAGTTTTTCTTGAAATGTCTTACATTTTTTATATAGTACATTATTTTGCACTCCCCCAAATCACACCTCAGAAAAACTACAGGGAAAAGATTTAATAAAATCGACTTGCAGGCTCCTTTAAGATACATATGATACTCTAGTAAGTTTTCTGCTGACACCAACTCCCTGTGGTTGACTCAGGAGCAGGTACCCTTGGTGTAGCAGTACACATTCTACTGAGCTGATTTGCATATAGAGACATTAAATAACAGCTGGGGTTCCTTCAAGGACAGCTGCCAGGAGACTAAGAAGCATCCTGTCTTCCAGATCTCAGAGATGGAGACAAACACACTCGTGCTATGGGCACTGCTGCTCTGGGTTCCAGGTGAGGATGCAGAGAACTGTTGGGACTAACCTTCATGGCCATCCTGATTTTTCATACCTCTGGGTTCTTAATGATTAAAATTAGGGCATTTGTAATTGGTTTTAAGTTTCCCCATTTCCTTTGATTTTCTTGTTTCTCAGAATCATATTTACAATTATTATTAAACATTTCAAATGAAAAGTTCCTCTGCTGGGAAGGTTCCATACATATATAACAATTATCTGACTGTTTGTCATTCCAGGTTCTGCTGGGGACATTGTGCTGACCCAGTCTCCAGCTTTGTTGTCTATGTCACTAGGGCAACAGGTCACCATCTCCTGCAAGGCCAGCCAGAGTGTCGATGATGATTTTTTTGACAATATTTTAATGAACTGGTACCAACAGAAACCAGGACAGCCACCTAAATTTCTCATACATGATGCATCCAACCTAGCATCTGGGGTCCCTGCCAGGTTCAGTGGCAGTGGGTCTGGGACAGACTTCACCCTCACCATCAATCATGTGGAGGCTGATGATGCTGTAACCTATTACTGTTAGCAAAGTAAGGATTTTCCTCCCACAGTGCTCCAGGGCTGAACAAAAACCTCCTGGGGTTACAGTTCACTGAGGCTCAGTCTCTCACTTCTCTCTTACTCTATGGCATCTCAACACAGAGATCTAAGCTTGTTTGGAAAAAGATCTCAAGTAATGACATAAACATTTTATAAACAGATATGCATGTGTGTTCTGTCCTATATGTTTATACAAACAAAATTTAGAACTTTATTATTGCTTCTTAATTATTACTTAGATTTTTATTAACATATATTTATCTTCTGATATTTCCACTTCTTCTCCCCTATCTTCATGTTCACATCTCTGCCTATTCCATCTACCCTCAGTATCCACCTTTGACTTTCGTATCTCTTAGGATGTACTGTTTCGTTTCAAAAAAGTTTTGACTTTAAAAAGGATAATGAATAGAAACTACATTACTGAAAACTTAAAAAAAGACATTTATTATCATGTATGTGTATATGTTGTGTGTGTGTGTGTGTGTGTGTGTGTGTGTGTGTGTGTGAGTGTGTGTGTGTGCAGACCAGAGGACAACTGGAGAAATCTCTGTTTTGGTTCCACCATGTGGGGGCAGGGAGTCAAACTCAGGTCATTAGTCTTTGTTGTATGTAGCTTTCCTTGTTCAAGGACCAATCTTGCTAGCATCATGTAGTATTTCTTATTTTTCTAGATTTATTTTATTTTAAATTGTGTTTGAGAGTGTGGGTATGTGCATGAGTGAGTTCCCATAATAGTCACAATTGGGAATTAGATTCCATGGAACTGGAGTTGCAGGAGGACTTGAGTTAGTTGATGTGGATGCTGGGAAGCAACCAAGCATCCTTTATAACAGCAGTAAGTACCTTTATCTACCATTTATTATGTACTTTTAAGATTGAAAAACCACTTTGCCCTAAGATTATAGTAGACTTAATGGAAGCTTTGTTATCCACCATTAAAACTAAAATGAGTTTTGCATAGTTAAGATCATCAGTCATAGGCTGTAATATACAGGCTTGTATTCTACCTCATTGGTGAAAGCACAGTCACAATTGCTGTTAATGGCCCAGGATCGCAAACAAGTTGTGGCTTAACATCATGCAGAAAGTCTATAAGGCTATTGATGAAGCTTAGGTGCAGTTGATGAAGTAAGCATCTTAGATATGACAGTACCATGGGATGATCACTAAGAATAACAGCAGTAGTGGAGTGAAGTCAACTTGAGCTTAGAGTATTATACAGCACATAGCTGGAGAATTGGCCCAAGTCCTTTGGAAGAGGCCAGAATGTCATTTTTGGACCCCAGAGACTGGAAGAAGAAGATGTAAAGTTGAATTTGCTGTGGAGACCCCAAGATGTTAGACATCAAAGAACTATGGAATAGCTGCTTAGGAAAATTGGTAACAGGGACCAGCCATATTCGTTAAGAAAACATCAGAAGAAATATCTCTAGGCAAAATTCTAAATTTCTCCTCTGAAACCTCTTGAGACAAGACCTCAAAGTTTAAACCACTCTCATCATCACTGTCGTCTATGATTCTACTAGTATATCTAAATATGCTACACCTAAAACATTCCATTGTTTTCCAAAGTCCCCCAAACCACATTCCTCCAAACAAAAGTATGGTCAGGCCTATACAAGCAATACCCGCCTCCTGCTACCATTTCTATCTTAGTTGAGGTTTCTATTGCTGTGACAGAAACCATGGCAATGCAATTCTCATAAAGGAGAATATTTAATTGTGTTTGTGTTATAGTTTTAGAGGTCTAGTCAATTATCATCATTGTAGGAAGCATAGCAGTAACCAGGAGGACAAGGTGCTGGAAGAGCAGAAACATCTGTATCTTGATCTGAAGGCAGCAAGGAGATGCCTCTGTTTTCCACACACAGGCATGAGTAGCCTCTTGAAGCCCAGATCTCTCTCTACATGGTTTGTTATCCAAATACTCTCCTCTTTGTCCAAAAGTCAGTGAGCTTTGCCTTAGTCAACAAGACTTAAGAGCCCAGGAGAGCTTTTATGGGATAATATGTCCTTTAATCTTTGAGTCAAGTTTAAACAATTATTTTTCACTACTTTTGTCTATCTTTAAAGAATGATTTTAAAGATGATTTGACATTTATCATTCTCATTTTTATGTCTGTGTTCATTTGCAGAACAAGTAGTTTGGAAACAGTTTAAGAATCATGAGGTTCTCAATGGAGGAGTTAGAGTGAGGACTGAAGGAGCTGAAAGGGTTTGTGGCACCATGAGGAGAGCAACAATACCAACCAACCACAGCTCCCAGGGTCCTAACCACCAGCCTGGGAGCACTTATGGAGGGATCCAGGGCTTCAGCTGAATATGTAAGAGTGGAGGGCCCTGCCGGGCACAGGTGGAAGAAGAGATCCTTGACCTCATGAAGGCTGGACGCCCCAGGGGGTGGGAATTTTGAGGGTGGGGAAGTGGGAGTGGGGGGGTAGGTGGGGGTTACATCCACGGAGAAGAAGGAGGGGGGGTAAGGGGATGGGGGGTTCCTGGGTGGGTGGGGGATGAGGTAAGGGGATAACATATGAAATGTAAATAAAATATCCAATAAAAAAAAGAATGCCCATTTCATATTAGTCATTTATGTTCTTCAAATGGAAAACCTTCAAATTCTCATAATGACATTATTTTTCTTTATTGAATTTTTCTTTTAAATTTTATTTATTTAATGTATGAGTGCTGTGCTGCATATAGAACTGCCTGCCTGAAGGGGGCATCAGAACCCCTTATAGATGGTTGTGATCCACTATGTGGTTGTTGGGAATTGAAATCAGGACCTTTGGAAGAATACTCAGTGCTCTTCACATTTGAGCCATCTCCCAGCCCTCTTTATTGAATTTTTAGCATTAACTATGAATAAATATTACCAAGGTATAAAATTCATTTGTGTCTGAGTTGTTTTGTAAAGAACAAGTACTTAGAGTAATCATGATGATTTGTGTTAAAAATACACTTGAGTTAAACGGGAACTTGTACATCAAATGCTTGGTTGACACTAAATAAGTAAACAATGAAACTGAAGAACATTCATCTTTTTAAATCCCAAAGTTTCCATGTAATTAGGATATGGGCAGAAAACATGAAGGCAGCAGCAGAGCATCAGAGGCCATTTACCTACCAACTCTGTTCCTTATTTTTTGTCCTTGATGAAAAAATTAACTATACTGACATATACACATTGCTCATAGTGTTTAGTTTCATAAAAGCATCTCCCTTTAACATTATTATATATAAACCATATTTATACCCTGCCATAATTAGTTTTTAATGTCAAATTTGTATAAGGTAGAGTCATCTGAATGGGAAAAACCTTAATTTAAAAATGCCAGCATAAGGCTAGGCTGTGGGAAAGCTTGTAGGGCATTTTCTTATTTACTGATTGATGGGGTAAGGTCCAGTCTATTGTGGGTGGGGCCAGCCACACTCAGTCTTGGATCTGAGTTCTATAGCAAATAGAACTGAGAAAGACACAACGGGGGAAGCAAGTAAGCAGCACTCCTCATGGCTCTGGTCAGCTCCTGCTTTTCCCTTTCTTCCCTGTTTGAGTTCTTGCTCGAACTGTCCTCAGTGATGGACTGTTATGTGGACTGTTACATCTGGATGTGTAAGGAGAATTAATTGTTCCATCATTTAAATTGATTGTAGTCATGACATTTCATCATAACAACGGTAACTCTAAGACACATGCCTTACTCTCTCTTTCTCTGTGTTCCATGGTTTGTTTCCCCACAAGTTTTCTTCCCTCTCCTTGTTTCCCTGCTACTTACCCACCACAATTGTGATTGTTTTTATATAATTGAGTTTAAAAATCCAAGATTTATACGTGAAAGGATATGAATAATTGTTTCTAAACCATTGGTCTACCCCTGCCTCTTCCTCATGGGTCACATATCACTCTGAGCTCTTCCTATATACTTTCAAATGTGGAGACCCAGAAACCTCAGTCCATGCTAAAGAAGTATGATAGACTTCTTCAGGTCTCCATCTCATATTCAGGGCTAAATTTAATATTTATAAATGGGAAATCTAAGACCCATATAAACAAAATGCTAATTAATGCTTTATTGTATTCCTTAAAAACAATCTGATCAACAGGTTTGAAGTCCAAAGACACAGTTCGGCCTGATGGTATTATAGAATATACACAATTGTTGATGTTTTGTTTGTATCTTCCTATAGGTATAATATCCCCTGATGGATTATGTCATTTTTTACTTACTTCTCTATTGTTGTGATGAATACCATGAACTTATAAAGAAAGGGTTCTATTGTCCTCTCCAAAGGTTATATTGTATGAAAATGGAAAGAAGGCATAAGGTAGAAGACTTGGTAACTGGAGCAGAAGGTCAGGGCTCACATCTGAAACTGTGTGTATGTGTGTATGTATGTATATATGTATGTATGTATTTATGTATGTGTATGTATGTATGTATGTATGTATGCATGATGTATGTCAGTACATATGTCTGTATATAAGTAAGTGTACATTGTGTGTGCTTAACTGAAATTATAGATGGCTAAGAATCATATAAATGCTTGGAGTGAGTAAGCCTGAGTGTTTTAAAAGAGAAACAAATCATATTAACAACTATTGAGCTGACTCTCTGCACCCAAACCTACCTACCTTCCTTCCTTCCTTCCTTCCTTCCTTCCTTCCTTCCTTCCTTCCTTCCTTCTTTTTAAAAAATATTACTACTTTTTATATCCTCCATTCATTTTCTACTCCCCACATTTTCTCTTCCCTCCCCAATCTCAAATTTCCTCTCCTCTTCTCCATTTTCTATCTTTTCATTCCTCTTGCCTTCCTTTCCCCTTTGTTCTTTCCTTTCTTAATTTAAAATTCTTCTGTTTCTTTCTGTTGTTTCCTCATGATTGACTCAAGTGTAGTTCTTGTATTATTTCTGAAAAACTCACCTGCTATATATTTTCCTCAGTTTAATGGAGGCCTGTCATGAGAGAATCTAGAGCTCTAAGAAG